TCTTCTCCCTCAAACATCAAGCACAAATAAAAAAAAACATTTTATCAAATTATGGCTCCTAAAAAATTTGAAATCGGTTTTATCGTTATCCTTGCATTCGTGTTGTGCAGAGGCGCATTCGCCCAATCGAGTTGTGCTAGCACGCTTTTCAGCCTTTACTCGTGCATGAATTATGTAACCGGAAATACGAGTAGCCCAACACCTTCGTGTTGCTCATCACTGTCGAATGTGGTCGACACGCAACCACAATGCTTGTGCCCGTTGGTCAATGGCGGTGGCTCGTCTTTTGGTTTTTCTATCAATCAAACGTTGGCCATGGCATTACCGGCGGTTTGCAACGTGCAAACTCCTCCGCTCAGTCGATGCAACGGTTCTTTTTTTTTTTGTACTTTTTTCGAACAAAAAATGTTAGTTTGAATGTGTTTGGTTAACAGCATAAGCTAGTTTATAACTTATTTTGTTAGTTTATAAGCTTCCTGAAATTAATAAACTTAGTTTGGGTAGCTTTTTAAATAAGTCCGTTGAAATTTTAGTTTTAGCTAGCTTATTAGCTATTTTTACCAAACACAACGATTTTTACCAAACAGTTCTATCTTAATTTTTTCAGACATAAGTCATAAACTATCATCTATAAACTCGAAATTCACTTATAAGCGATCAACTAACTTATCATATTTACCAAACATTGTCTTTACTCGAAAGATCATATTGTTTTGTTACCTTTTTTGTCTTAAAAAAAACAGGTGGTGTTGAAGGACCAACGAGTGCCCCGGGACCTTCGCCTTTGAGTTCCCCTACGGATGGGTCCACTGAACCAGCCGATACACCATCGACTAATTCAGACCCCTCCATGCCTTCAGGTAATATATATTAATCCATTTTTTTCATATTAATTTTTACTTCAACTTTATAAGTTCTGATTTTATTTTATTTTTTAATTCAGAAGATGGTTAATATTTTCCCAACTAGATTTGATTTCAAATGCGAATACGTAATTTGCACTCGATTTTGATTTTTCAGGTGGAGGATCGAGGACAGTGCCGGCAACGAACGCTAGTACTTCAAATCGAAGCTATGCTGCATCTTTGATTCAACTCACTGTTTTAGCTTTATTCATTTATAACTGTTTGGACAGTTGATATTGTCAAGTTTTGAGCATTTGATTTGTACAAGGTTTCATTCTATTTTTTTGTTATTGTTGTTGTGTTTGCAACTTGTTTTTCTCTCTGTTTTGTTCCCCTGTTTCTTTTGTAAGATTGTCTCATCTTAAACAAATTACTTTATCCATTGGCACTCGATAAAAAACTTAAACCTTCATCCATGTATCTTTGCCATTTTGGTTCACATTTTAAACAAAACTTATTATAAACTTTGAAAGTACTTAAATAGGCGCCAAGGGCAAAACTTCTCAAATGAACTCAATTAGTTATTCTTATTATGACTAAAATACAACTGAAACCCCTTAGTTGAATGAACTCTTTTTTTCAACTAGTACGTAACCCGTGCGATGCACGAACTATATTCATTTTGGGAAAGATAGTGTAGTACCGGTGCGCAGTACGGTGGGGTTATTTCCTCAAACCTTTTTGTCTAAACTTTATTTAATATTTTTGTTTATAAATTAATAATTTGATTGTAATAGAAAAAAAGAGAGAAAAATACAAAGTACACAAAAAGCATATATTATTAAACACTTCTCTGTACACAACATTATCGATTTGATTTGCTTTCAAACCTTCTTCTCCACAAATTAAAATTTTAAGACCATTTCTATTAGTAACACGGGAGGCAGCAACATATAACTGACCATGACTAAAAATTGGTTTCTTCAAGAATAAGCCAACATGAGATAAGGATTGACCTTGACTCTTGTTTATAGTCATTGCATACGAAATCATAATGGGGAACTGCCTTCTTTGGAATTTGAATGGTACTCTAACATCCGAAGGAGTTATGGTCATTCGAGGAATCAAAACTTTATCACCTGCATGATCGCCAGTAAGAATTTTACACTCGAGAACATGATTGGAGAGTTTAGTCACAACCAATCGTGTACCATTGCAGAGTCCCATTGAGTGATCCATGTTCCGCAACAACATAACTGGAGTTCCGACCTTTAAATTCAACTCATGATTCGGTGTTCCAGAACACTTGATAGTATTCAAGAATATTTTGATTTTATTTTAGGGTAATTCGAAAATTGTGATGCCCATTTTACTGTTTCCAATAGATATATGTATTGATATTCATAAATTAAAAATATTTATTAAATAATATTTATAAATTAAAAATATGGAATCAATATGTAATATAATTTACATATATTAATTTATTGAAAATGTTATATGAAATTTAAATTGTGAAAAATTACATAAAAAAATGTCTATTTAAAATTAAACACAACCGTACGGTGCACGTAACTGATAATAAATTATATTATATTCATTTCAAAATAACTGTCATTTAAAACTTTTATTCAGAAATTTGATTTGCTACAATGTAATTCCATAAAATAAATATTTTGGTAAAACCTTATCATATATTTAAAAATCTATGTACATATATATTAAGTATAATTATAAAACTTATATTGTTTTATTATTTAAAATAAGTTTATTTTTGTATAAACTATCCACATAAGAAAATTAAGTAGTTGAGTAATTTATTAAACTTAAATAATTGACTATTTCATTTACGTCCAAGTTAATATTGACCCGTAAGTTATAAATAATTAGTTATTTGACTTTTGAATTTGGACCCAAATTTGGACTACACAATAAATTCCTTTATACCTTTCATACACACATATACATATTATCTCACAAGTTTCTAGAATTGTTGTCGGTTATCTTATCTTTCAAATTTATCAACTAATTTTCTATAATTAAATTATAAATTTTAAATTTCATTAATCAATATTTATTCGAAGATCTTTCTGATTTTCAGGAGGAATACATACCAATTTGTCGAATTATCACAAATATCTTATGGCAAGTTATTATGAGATTATGATAAAATTTGATTTTCATACCCATACAAATAAAGTTCATACCACCTTTTTTTATTTTTAAAATTTCTAAATACACTTATATCCATACTAAATAAATTTAACACCATTTAAATTAAGACATTTCATACAAAAATAAAATCACCCACTTTATACCATAAATTTGGATATCTATTAATAACAACACATTTCTTACCAAAACTAAAAAATGACCATCAAATACCTCAAATGAAATCGGCCACTTTATATCAAACCGGATTTATAATTTTGCCAACTTTATACTATAAACTAGTACGTAACCCGTGCGATGCACGGACTGTATACTTTTTTCGGAAACATAATGTAGTACCGATGCGCAGTACGGTGGGGTTATTTCCTCAAACATTTTTGTCTAAAGTTTATTTAATATTTTTTATTATAAATTAATAATTTGATTGTAATAGAAAAAAAATAGAGAGAAATACAAAGTACACAAAAAAAAAAAAAAAAAATCATATATTATTAAACACTTCTCTATACACAACATTATTGGTTTGATTTGCTTTCAAACCTTCTTCTCCACAAATTAAAATTTTAAGACCCTTTCTATTAGTAACACGGGAGACAACGACATATAACTGACCATGACTAAAAACTGGTTTCTTCAAGAATAAGCCAACATGAGATAAGGATTGACCTTGACTCTTGTTTATAGTCATTGCATACGAAACCATAATGGGGAACTACCTTCTTTGGAATTTGAATGGTACTCTAACATCCGAAGGAGTTATGTTCATTCGAGGTATCAAAACTTTATCACCTGCATGATCGCCAGTAAGAATTTTACACTCGAGAACATGATTGGAGAGTTTGGTCACAACCAATCGTGCACCATTGCAGAGTCCCATTGAGTGATCCATGTTCCGCAACAACATAACTGGAGTTCCGACCTTTAAATTCAACTCATGATTCGGTGTTCCAGAACACTTGATAGTATTCAAGAACTCAGGAGTATGGAGTTGTGCCAGAAAGTCGGTATTGGAGTCTGATTTACACGTACTGTCTGAGCTTAAATACGTGCGTCCTTCAGTCAAATTCAACGACGACATGTATGCATTTATAGATTCTACAATCTCGAGTGTGGGCGCGAGTATAGCCCTATCTTTCAAGTAACTTGGATCATCTGTTGCATTCTTGAACATCGGATACGTGCTTTCAACAATTTTTGCAATTGGATCATCGGATGGTTCTAGTAATAGATCATCTGGTATGTCTATCGGAGCACATCCATCATTTGTACCCCCCAATGTGCCATCTCCGATGCTCGCTATCCAATCAGCAAAAGCGGCTAGCTCATCACGTTCATTTGAATCGCCAATGCTCTGAAGACGCATGTTCTTTGTAAGTCTAAGTACAGTACAGTCTCCCCAAATGGTAGAAGAATTAATAGCAGCTTAACAATCTCCTGACGATTCCCCTTTGGAACTACCGGAAGGATTTGTCGAAAGTCTCTGCCAAACACAACAGTCTTGCCTCCGAACGGTTTATGATGATTGTCGGGTCGATTGCTCCCATTATTCCCTTAAAAGAAGCTTGAACAGCTTCAAAACAATGCTTGTGCATCATAGGGGCCTCATCCCATATGATCAGTGAAGAGCGAATAATCAACTCTGCAAGGGGGCTAGCCTGATTGATATCACACGATGAATTTTCATGCACAGAAAGAGGAATGCCAAATCGAGAATGTGCAGTGCGACCGCCCGGCAACAGGAGAGATGCTATTTCACTTGATGCAACATAAAGAACAATTCGACCGCGCGATCTTAGTCCAGCAGCTAAAGTCTTCCACAAGTATGTCTTGCCAGTTCCACCATAACCATAAACAAAAAACACGCCGCCCCTACCGGAATCAACAGATGTCATTATTCTGGAATAAACACCCTTCTGTTCATCGGTCATATGTGTCAGCAATTCATCATGCTCATTAGCTAGAGCCTTACGATCATAGTTAAGTTCATCCATAACCAGACAGTTCACACTTGAATTCATACTACTCATATCTGGAAAAGGCATAGTAGAATAGTCCCGAAGGCTTGTGCCACGATGTTTCAATAATGTCTCAATCTCTGCAAGAGCTAAAGTTTTTATATCTACATCACTCAGCTTCAAATCTGAAATAATGATAGATGACCTATTAGATTTCGTTTTTTTACGTGGAACACAAAACAAATTAATAATTAAGAAAAACGATGTTATTATAATACTTGATAAATGCATAATATAAAACGCCCTAAATCTCATACCATCGTTATAAAAAAGACGACGTTGCTTGTATAGTATGTCGTCAGATAGAAATTGCCAACACCGTTCCCAAACTTCATCGGGTTTGCCTAAGGATCTAGAAACCAAAAGACACGAACATGCGCCTAAGAGAATCAGCAGATGCCCATTGAATTGCTTCGGTAATTCCATCAATGTACTCTCGATCATCACCCAACAAACCTCGTGCATAGCAAGCATCGCGATAGGATGTGTATTGAACATCGCCTACCTTTATATAATCCTCGTGGCAAGTAGCTCCACGAACAACATTGACCAAACACCTCAAATAATAATTATCACCAGCATTGGGAGGAACATAGCTCAAACGACCTCTACAACCTGGCCTTATTCGAGGAGTCCAGACTCTTTCTTGTTTGTTCCAAACAAATTTTGACGGCGCCTCAACATACGTCAGTTTTCTCGCCTCGGGATACATCTTGTTCGCTTCCATCCATGCCAAAAATTGGCTCTCATTAACGGTGGGATTATTAAGAACTTCATCGATATGATCATCATCATCAAAAACAATATTATGTTCACCTTTCAAATGGAAACTCAGACGTTGCACATAAGGTTTTTTGTACTGCAGTTCATAACTCAATAGCCTCCACGCCGCCTCGCAAGAAGACACATACCGACAGTCATAGAACATGTTGATCTCGTCAACAGGTTTTTCTATTTCTCCATAGGCAGTCGTCTGATAGAATGATGCGGTGACACGATCATGACCTTTATTGACGTACTTGAAAAGGTACTTTATGGATCGCGATTGATTACACCACTCGACATTAATATGCGCTCCATATTTCATCAACAATTTGCGATTGTGAGGAACGACATAACCATTATGGACAACGACCCCATTTTTTTCAATATGCCTTCCATCGTCTCGACGTCTGTATCGTGGACAACCTTCATGGTTGACAGTGGTTAAATCGACAAACTTTTTAGGAAACCGTTTACTACATTTGCCATCCACCATGCACGGAGACGATTTTCTAGCCAAACCACAAGGTCCGTGGATCATGTGCTCTTTTACTGCCTCATAATACAACGGATCCTACGTCTCATCAGGTATCTCCGCAGATATTACTCTGTCAATATCTGACGGATTTGGGAATTTATTTTCTTTGGCGAGAAATAGTAGTATATGAGCATGCGGCAATCCACGCTTCTGAAATTCAATGGTGTAGACAACTACAAAAACAAAAGAAGATAAAACAATTAGAATATTTTTTAAAATGGTGTTAGACAACACGATGGTCATATATACAACAATTTTTTTTCTTAAAATAATACTTGCTATAACTTTGCCGAAAATTTGCTTTTTACGAAAATCCCTGATTAATTCCTTCAATTTTGATTTGAAAACCCTACATATAATATCCTGGCGATCCTCAGGTCGCAGTCTCTTTGGTTCTAAAAACCGAACAATCTCAGGCCATCTTGGATTGCATGTGAATGTTATAAACAAATCGGGATAACCTGCCCATCCACAAATTGCCATTGCATCCTGATAGTTTTGAATCATGTTTCGAGGTCCCCCAGTGAATGAAGAAGGAAGTATAATTCTTTTTTCTCTAGAGCTTGGATCAACATCGCCCTGGAGAACAGCATCCGTCAATCTATTGTGCATATCACATCGGAGTCGACTCTGATTGAATCGTATATACCGCAACCTCGATGATTCAACCATGGTATATGCATCAACGACAAACTGCTGAAACAATCTTCTCGCTGAAAGAATAGTAGATGGTTCGTGTTTCCGATCATGGATCCGGTACGCAAAGTATTCCCGGCTCGCTGTTTTTCGACCACGCTCTTTTTCAACTTTTCGATTTGAAAATGGCATGTCTTCTTTATAGCCATCCTCACCGTAGGGCAAAAGAAGGGGATATTGTAAAGCCAGATATGAAGCATTAAGCTCATTTATTCGCTGTAGTCGTCCACTCTTGGTTTCAACCAATATATCTCGCTCACGCATAGCCTGATCAAAATCTCCAACGACCAATACCGCAACTTCAGAACTCGTAGGCAAGTTATAACGTCTGGCATCATTAAATCTCCTTCCAATTAAACGAATCCTGATATTAGATTCGCCATGATCTTGAATTCTTTCTCTAGCCAAACGAAATGATTTCACAAGTTCGTTGTGCTCATCCAACATGGTCGTCAATCCAGAAATAATTTCTCCATTCAAATCAGTAGTACCGTCAACATTTCTGAAAAATGAAATAATTTTTTTAAACAAATCAAATAAAATTTTATAAAAGAAATATAATAAAAATTCGATTAAGGATATTATTTAAATACTAACCTCACAGCATTCATTCTATTCGTTACTTCATTATCAATGTCATATATATAGAGCTGAGCAAATTTTAGAGTTGAACCTTCAGAAGGAAGTAAACTACCCATGAGATGGTAGTTTTGTCCGTGCAAACTGAAAACGGGTGGTCCCGATCCTTTGTTGATATCGGTATTGATCTTGCCTCCCAGAGAAGTAAAGCAGAACATGCTGTTGTAGGATCTAATGTTTTCTTGAAAGTGTTTGCTAACGCGGCTATCTCCATATGGCAAGTCACTCAAAAACTGGGGCGGATTATGTAGAACAGGTAGTTCAATCATACCATTCACACAACAACCACTGTACTTGGTAACAGCTGACATTCTATCAGAAGACTTTCTCTCAGAATACCAAAACATTACTCCGCAGTACATGTATTCGATGTTGGCATCACCCATGTCCCAGTACTCTACGATTGTTATGATGAAGAATATTTTAATATTATATAATCAATCAATTTACAAAATTTGTCATAAAAACAAAATTCAAATAATAACCAACCTGATCGTGTAGAAGTGCTCGCCAACATTTTTTTAGGTCGACCAGGTTTTTTCTTTTGATTTGTAGGTTGCACTTGATCACTCAAATCAACACCTACAATAATATAAACATAATCAATTCAAAACTGACCAGTAAATATAATTATATAATTCACAAATAAAATAATAATATTCATAAACATACCATTTTGTGTGGACGTGTTTCCAATTATTTTTTTTGGTCGTTCATGTTTTCTTTTAAGAGGCGTAATGGTATTTGATCGTCAGCCGTGTGATCCAATATCTCACTCGATATAGTTGGGTATGGCGTTGGATTGACAGTTATTTTTTCATGGTCTAAAAAACGTGAATAATTGAAAACAATTTTGTTAAAAAAAAAATTATACATAAATATACTGCAATAAGTGATAAATCAATTATTTAAATAACAACATACCAGTTTGTGTGGACGTACTTCCTAGAACCTTTTTAGGTTGACCACGCTTTCTTTTAAGTTCCGTCAATGGTAGTTGACAGTCAACAGTGTGATCCAATAACTCACTCAATATATTCGTGTATGGAGTTGGAGTGACGGTTATTTTTTCAAGTTCTAGAAAACGTAAACAATTAAAATATATTTACTTAAAAAATTTATACTGAAATATCATGTTATAAGTGATAAATTAAGTTGTTAAATAACAACATACCAGTTGATGTGGACGTATTTCCTAGAATCTTTTTAGGTCGACCACGTTTTCTTTTTATAGTCGTAACTGGTACTTGATCGTTCGCACGATGATCGAATATCTCACTTGAAATAGTAGTCTTTGGAGTGGCGGTTATTGTTTCAATATCTGGAAAATGTAGATAAGTACAAAATAAATAATTAAAAAAATCATATTGAAATACAATGCAGTAAGTGATAAATCCTATATTTCAATAAGAACATACCAGTTTTTGCGGACGTATTTCCTAAAATATTTTTAGGTCGACCACGGTTTCTTTTAATAGTTTTGTGTGATACTTGATTGGTAGGAGCTACATGATAATCCTCATTGAGATTAATAACCCCTGCATGCGAAAAAATATCTACAATAATCGAAACATAATACTAATTGAAATGTACTAATTCATAAAAATAAGTATTCCATATGTTTTTTTTTAACAAAAAATACACCCAAATATTATTGTATTTTACCTTATGGTTGCTTGAATATATTATTAGAATTAGAATTAGAATTTGAAGAAAGAAGCAAACCGTCATCACTATCATCACTGGTAAGATCAATGAACTGTGACGGTCCAACATTTTCTGCAAACAATTATAATCACAAATACACACATCACACTTGTATTATAAAAAACTACAGAAAAAAAATTAAACACATATAATGTAATTTGATAAAAATATAAGTGTCTCACCAGATGCAATAATTTTGGATGTTGAATTTAATGGAGTAAATATCGGGGCTGTTTCGAATACTACATAAGAAAAATATTTTAATTATATATTTTAATTATATACATAATATATATATATATATTATTTATATGCATGTAAATAAATAAATAAATTTAAGAGAAAATAAAATTTTAAAAAATTTACCATTGGTGATGTTTGATAATGGTAGACTTTGAGAAGTATGCAACACACTTCGCCATTGATATGAAACCTTGCCGGAATTATTGTTGTTTTCAATCGGAATAAAAGAAGATCCAGCAACAGGAGAAGGTGTAGCATATCCTGTAGAAATAGAATGGAATATTAAGGATACAAAAAAACAAAAAATAAATCAGTAAATAAAAAAATAATATAATATAAAATAAATTAAATATATAAATGTATAAAACAAAAAACAAATTAATTAAAGGGGACAAAAAATAATTATGAGCAATTTTGTTTTACTTATATAAAACACATAATAAATAGTAATTATATTGGGTTAAGAACAATATATAAAAAATTAGGCTTTAAAATCTATTAATGCAATTAATAATCAAATATATGAGACTAATTGGCCAAATATCATTTTGCACCCATTACACACAAACTCAGCCCAAGTTAAAATAACTATTAAAATAGCCCAATTGCTAAACCAGCCCAATCATATAAGTCTTTAGCCCAATATGATCCGAAGCCCACAAGCCAAATCATAAAAATCGGACGGTCAATATTTTGTCAACAGAATCGAACGGCTGTCATTAACTGATCTTGTGTATAAAAGGAAACAAAGATCATGTAGGGTTTCATTTTGTTCATTTCACCACCGCCTCACTCCTCTCCCTTCTTTTTCGCCGCTTGTCTGAGAATCGAACATGTCCGATTTCTTTCCTTGTCCGATCTATTTCCTAATTTTCATTTTTCCCGTTTTGATTTATGTTTCAAATGATCAGTTAACTTTCCAATTTTTCAAAGTCGTAAAGATTGGTTTCGATTTTCACAAGAACAGTTTCTAATCTTAGAAACAATTCTGAACTTCGAAATCTTTCTCCGATAATTACTTCGATCATGATGAAAAATGGATGATCGGCCTTGTTTTTTACCTATGGCGGAAAGGTACTACGAATTCGATTTGTATATTTATTTATTTATTTTGTTCTTACCTGAACAAAAAAATTCGACCTCGTTAGTTTTGATGTTGATTTGTTTCGATGTGTGTATGTTACGTGTGTGTCTGAGATACGATCAACTGTCTGATATATTTTCTTGTCCGATCTATTTCCTAATTTTCATTTTTCCTGTTTTGGTTTATGTTTGAAATGATCAGTTAACTTTCCAATTTTTCCTGTATATTTAAGGTTTGATTTTTTTTTTTCTTACATGGACAGATCTGCGTTTTATATGTTCATGCTAGAATTAACAGATCTGCGTTTTATGTTCTACTGAATCACTCGAATGGTGTGGTATTGTGTTAATGTCTGTGATGTTCATTGTACAACTTTTACAAAGTCAATTTTGTGTTTCATTTAAAAACGAATGTGAAATTGTTATAATTTGAACACTTTTCCAGGGTTTTTGATAGACACATGCATGAACTATGGTACTGAAAAGGATAATTGAGTGACTGGTTTGATATATTTGAAATTAGGGTTTCATAATCACACTGATTCATAGTAAAGCTCGACTTTGTTTTGTTTATTAATAAATTATGTATTATACTGTAATTGTACCAGTCAGCCTATTATTAGAAACAACTGTTATCATATGTAAACTTGATTTTTAGTACACATACTAAAAAATATGTTTTTAAGATCATTTGAATTAAAGATTAATCTGTAAGGACAATTTTAAAAGTCTAACCAACTCTTTCATTTTATTGCATGAGAATCATCAATATGAATCAAGGAACTTGGTTGAGTTGCAGAGTTAATAAGCACAACACAAAATGGGCATTGTTTTATAGGTAAGTGGTCTACAAAAACCAATTACTTAATAAAAGTTATATAACCTTCATGGTATGAAATAATTTTTATATAATCTTCTCATATTATTTCTAACATCTTATACTCTCTTGGTTACAGAAACCGAAGAAGCTAACCTACTATAGGAATCTGATGATAGAAGATTGAATTGTATAAGTACATAGTGGCAAGTATATTCAGTGAACTCAAAAGGTAAAGATTTAACATAAGTATTGGTCTGTTGAATTAAATAATTTGTAAGACTTCACACATTTCTGATTATATAACTGTATTATATCATATTTGTCAACTACATGTTCTAATTTTATTTTTTAACTTACAGCAGCATAAGGACTAAAGCATGACATCCATTATGAAGGTATTTAATTTGTTTTTTGTCCATTGCTTATTTGTACACCACAAACAGCAAAAAACAAAACACAAACAGAGATATCCTCATATTATAATAAATCTTAATTGCTGCTTAATGTATCAAGTTCTAACATATATTTATGTATTTGTGCGAGGATGATACTACTAAACATGAGGCCTACAATATTTGAAGAACTACACAGAAGTTAAGAGACAGAAGGTAAAACAGGTAAATCTCGAAAATGAAATCAATAGGTAAATCTTATATTAATGTGTTTGCACCTTTTTCTTTGGTTTCATTTTTTTTTTTTTGAAGCAATCATCCGCTGTTGAATTCCTTGCAAAAATAAAACCAACAAAAAAATCACAAAATATTGCTAATGAATATAATCTTTTGGATGAAAAGTCTAAATTTTATAAATCGAAAGCAATTAGAAATAGATTACCTTGATCTTTGATTTGTTTTTTTTTCCGCTGTTTGACTCTGCATGATTTCATTTTATTGGTTTCCGAAAGTATTCCAATGTTTGTTTCCTTCATATCATCTGTTTATTTGTGGTTACACAATAAAAAATCCAAAAAACACACGTTGTAGTTTAATTCATGTATTCTGCTCGCGAAGAAAACAATTGTATGTATCTGTATTTATATTCTCGTGGCAAAAATGATACAACAGCGTGTGCAAAAAATAAGGGAAAAGGGAATGTTAGTTTACATTAGATAAGGCATAATCTTATAGAATATATTCACACAATAGTTTGTTTGGAAAAGATTAAAACTGAATCTGGCAACTTTATAGGAGATATGCTCACATATGTAGGAGATATGCTCGCACTTCTATATATTTAAAGATGATATGAAGTATCCTAACAAAAATAAGTTTTCGAAATTGGAAAAATTAATATTTACAAAAATGATCGCCATTTATTTTATCTTTCAGACAAAATAAATCGATAATAAATTACTATTATATATTAATTTGTTAGTAATATATTTTAATTAAAGTAGTTATTAAATTTGCTTAGTTATATTTTATAGGATTAGCAATAGGAGGTTGATTACGTTAAATCTATTTCAGGAATAGTTAGGACTTCACAAGTATTTAAATGTTAGTTCACATAAGTACTTCGGTATAATCAATTTATAACGAACAAAAATATGAAACTTGCACATAATAAAAACGATCTAAACACACGTATAAATTCGAAGGGGAAATCAACTTTATTAATAAGTTGATTGAAATCTCGAAAACTATATGTTTCCTAGAGACTCAACCAAAAAGCAACATAAAGTTGCAATTATTTCTTCAAGAAAAACAAACAAACCAAACCATAATAAACAAAACCATCCAAGCAAAAAAAAAAAAAACATAATAAAATCGTCTTCTAGTCAAAACCCAACATCTAATTATTATCTCCTTCATCAGTTGGGAGTAAGTTCCCACAGTCATCAACTTTCGCCTTGCCCTTCTTGCTCGTCACGGATTCCGCTTGTCCACAATCGGGGTCAATAACAAACTCATCCATCAAATTACGTTTTGCATTGGATGTATCACTAACTTGCTCAACAGCACGAACAGTCTTAAGCGGTGAAATCACTTCCTCTTCATCATCGTCCAACTCAAAATAAAGTCAAGTATAAACTTGAAAGAAAATAAACTTAATTTATAAGCAAATATATTTAATATTGGATTATAAATACTTATACTAACCTTAGTAGCTTCCTCCCTTTGTAAAAGGGTCATAAAATTAGAATTCTATAATGAAAAAATATCATAATTAATTTTCAAATCATGTATTGTATACCGAAGGAATATATTTAATATGTTAAATCTAATTATATAAACTTACATCATACTCTACTACCCAATGGTTGTACTTGGAAACCAAATTTTGATCAAGGATGACCCTTAACACGGAGAAAGTAGATGAATAGCCCTTTTTTTCATTATTATTTGCTTTGATTCGAACCTTGAAAAGAAAGGTTCTCCCAACCAAGTCCTCTAAATCATCGGGCAGCTGAAAAACAACTTTATTCTACAAAAAAAAAGATAATAATATAATATTTATAAGAATTATAAATAAGCTTAATTATCGAATTACACTTATTTCTAGCGACACTAAATTGAATCTTGTACCTTTGAAAAAAAAAAACAAAGTTGAGACTATTAATAATTACTAACAATATGCGAAAAGGAAAACAAATGAAATTTTATCAATACCGTGCAATGCCACGTGTATTAGTGCACTTGGTGCAATGCATATCACCATCTTCAATTTCCATCTTGCTATTGCA